GGAGCAGAGATGATGTGCAGGAGCAGAGATGATGTGCAGGAGCAGAGATGAGGTGCAGGAGCAGAGATGAGGTGCAGGAGCAGAGATGATGTGCAGGAGCACAGATGAGGTACGGGAGCAGAGATGATGTGCAGGAGCAGAGATGAGGTACGGGAGCAGAGATGATGTGCAGGAGCAGAGATGAGGTGATGGAGCAGAGATGAGGTACAGGAGCAGAGATGAGGTGATGGAGCAGAGATGAGGTACGGGAGCAGAGATGAGGTACGGGAGCAGAGATGAGGTACGGGAGCAGAGATGATGTGCAGGAGCAGAGATGAGGTACGGGAGCCGAGATGAGGTACGGGAGCAGGTTCCGGGTGCATGTACTCAGGAGTGGAGCTGTGGGTTCAATGCCCTTGGAGAAGGGTAGGGATGCCATACCACTAAGGCAGAGACCGAGTGCTTTGCAAGTCCTTTGAGTCCCTCATTCATACGGAGAAGTGATGCAATGGGGGACACGTCTGTGAAGGTCCAATCATCCGGGTCACATGGTCTATCTGTACAAAAATAATTTACATTGAGGCAACTGGACCGACTGTATTGTTCTTGAAGACGTTTTGCTGGTCATCCGACCAGCTTTCTCGGTGCAATGACGTGGCAAAGCTGGTCGGATGACCAGCAAAACGTCTTCAAGAACAATACAGCCGGTCCAGTTGCCTCAATGTAAATTATTTTTGTACAGATAGACCATGTGACCCGGATGATTGGACCTTCACAGACGTGTCCCCCATTGCATCACTTCTCCGTATGAATGAGGGACTCAAAGGACTTGCAAAGCACTCGGTCTCTGCCTTAGTGGTATGGCATCCCTACCCTTCTCCAAGGGCATTGAACCCACAGCTCCACTCCTGAGTACATGCACCCGGAACCTGCTCCCGTACCTCATCTCGGCTCCCGTACCTCATCTCTGCTCCTGCACATCATCTCTGCTCCCGTACCTCATCTCTGCTCCCGTACCTCATCTCTGCTCCCGTACCTCATCTCTGCTCCATCACCTCATCTCTGCTCCTGTACCTCATCTCTGCTCCATCACCTCATCTCTGCTCCTGCACATCATCTCTGCTCCCGTACCTCATCTGTGCTCCTGCACCTCATCTCTGCTCCTGCACCTCATCTCTGCTCCTGCACCCCATCTCTGCTCCTGCACATCATCTCTGCTCCTGCACATCATCTCTGCTCCATCACCTCATCTCTGCTCCTGTACCTCATCTCTGCTCCATCACCTCATCTCTGCTCCTGCACATCATCTCTGCTCCCGTACCTCATCTCTGCTCCTGCACATCATCTCTGCTCCCGTACCTCATCTCTGCTCCTGCACCTCATCTCTGCTCCTGCACCTCATCTCTGCTCCTGCACATCATCTCTGCTCCCGTACCTCATCTCTGCTCCTGCACCTCATCTCTGCTCCTGCACCTCATCTCTGCTCCCGTACCTCATCTATGCTCCTGCACATCATCTCTGCTCCCGTACCTCATCTCTGCTCCCGTACCTCATCTCTGCTCCCGTACCTCATCTCTGCCCCTGTACCTCATCTCTGCTCCTGCACATCATCTCTGCTCCCGTACCTCATCTCTGCTCCTGTACCTCATCTCTGCACATCATCTCTGCTCCTGCACCTCATCTCTGCTCCTGCACCTCATCTCTGCTCCTGAACATCATCTCTGCTCCCATACCTCATCTCTGCTCCATCACCTCATCTCTGCTCCTGAACATAATGCTCCCGTACCTCATCTCTGCTCCTGCACATCATCTCTGCTCCCGTACCTCATCTCTGCTCCCGCACCTCATCTCTGCTCCATCACCTCATCTCTGCTCCTGCACCTCATCTCTGCTCCATCACCTCCTCTCAGCTCCTGCACCTCCTCTCAGCTCCTGCACCTCATCTCTGCTCCCGCACCTCATCTCTGCTCCATCACCTCATCTCTGCTCCTGCACCTCATCTCTGCTCCCGCACCTCATCTCTGCTCCCGCACCTCATCTCTGCTCCCGCACCTCATCTCTGCTCCCGCACCTCATCTCTGCTCCATCACCTCATCTCTGCTCCCGTACCTCATCTCTGCTCCTGCACATCATCTCTGCTCCCGTACCTCATCTCTGCTCCATCACCTCATCTCTGCTCCCGTACCTCATCTCTGCTCCATCACCTCATCTCTGCTCCTGCACCTCATCTCTGCTCCCGTACCTTATCTGCTCCTGCACCTCATCTCTGCTCCTGCACCTCATCTCTGCTCCCGTACCTCATCTCTGCCCCTGTACCTCATCTCTGCTCCTGCACATCATCTCTGCTCCCGTACCTCATCTCTGCTCCCGTACCTCATCTCTGCTCCTGCACCTCATCTCTGCTCCCGTACCTCATCTCTGCTCCCGCACCTCATCTCTGCTCCTACACCTCATCTCTGCTCCCATACCTCATCTCTGCTCCTGCACCTCATCTCTGCTCCTCAATGTGGCTTTCAAGGTCCATCGTCTCACCGCTTCCTGCCCAACCTGAGCCCACCACTTGCGGCTCAACCTGAGTCCACCAATCCACCGATTGGTGCCCAGCCTGAGCCCACTGACCCACCGCTTGCTGCCCAGCCTGACTCCATCGAACCATGGCTTGCTGCCGAACCTGAACCATGGCTTGCTGCCGAGGCCTGGCATGAAATCCCAGAGGAATGGCACTTGGCCTGCTACCATACATGGTGGGGAGGCCTCCAGCTTGTTAAAGAATCCTGGCAGTGGGGCACCTTGCTGGTTACCATACCCTGGTGGCAGGGCACCTTGCCTGTTACTGGACCTCCCTCTCAACAGACACTTTTAGAACGAAGGCCTCCCGGCAATTCTCGGTACTATAAGGAGTCTTCCGGCACATGAAGAGGAACTCCCGATTCACTCTATGCCACAATATCTCCGAAGGCCCCTCCTCTGTTTTACAATTGTGCTGAGCGGGAGAGCCAGGAAGCTACACGGACTTTGTTAGCCAAGGCTTCTTGGAGCGTCCGGAGGCGGCTACCTAAAGGGGGACAATGTTAAGAATCAGAACACCTGGCTGGTGGCATTGCGGCCCCTGGACCTGAAGGGCGCAGTTCCGGGGTCCACCAGAGGGTGGCTGCTGGGAGGGCATCTAGCGCCCCTTCAGGAGCCTCAAATAATTTTTCGAGTGTGCCCGGCACTGCTGATCCACTGCTCCCTATCCCGGCCATGCCTTGCCCCTTTGCCCCTCATACCCCGGCTTTGTTTAGATTCGAGTCCCATTTCCTTGTGTAGCTCCACCTATCTGGCCATGTCGCCAATGCAGGAAACCCACGTGGGGCGTCCTAAATCAAAACTGTGGAGACCCAAGTTTGCGACCAATACCTCCAGTGTGAGCCGAACCCGTCGCGTTAGAAAAAGGAATTGGGGGAAAGAAAATAAGATTTAATCATCCGAAGATGTCGTATGTTCCACTTTCCTCCAGCAGGGGGCTCTCCCAGTCAATGAAGCTGCTCCCCGTGCACAATCATGTCTAAGGGAGATCAGACTACACTGCTAGAGGGGGCTAAACCAACCTTGACACCCCCCCTGCCCCTCAGCAGAGGAAGCCAAACACCTCAAGGGTTGTGTGAGTTCTCTGATGTTTGATCAGATTAGACTTCTGTAAAAAACATTTCCCACACTCCGAGCAGGAATGAAGCAACTCCCCCGTGTGATATCTTTGATGCTTGACAAGCTCTGATTTCCGTAGAAAGCTTTTTCCGCACTCCAGACAGGAATAGCGGTTCTCGCCCATGTGGTAGCTCAGATGGGTGTTAAGATTGGACTTCTGTGAAAAACTTTTCCCGCACACAGGGCAGGCATACGGCTTCTCCCCCGTGTGAGATCTCTGATGAGTAACAAAGTCTGACCTCCGCGTATAACTTTTCCCGCACTCGAGGCAGGCATAAGGCTTCTCCCCTGTGTGAGATCTTTGATGCGTAACAAGTTCTGATTTTCGAGTATAACTTTTTCCACACTCAGGGCAGGCGTACGGCTTCTCTCCCGTGTGCAATCTATGATGCCGAGAAAGATAAGACTTCTGAGAAAAACACTTCCCGCAATCAGGGCAGGAAAACGGCTTCTCCCCCGTGTGAGATCTGTAGTGAGTCACGAGTTCTGATTTATGGAAAAAACGTTTCCCGCACTCAGAACAGGAAAATGTCTTCTCCCCTTGAATTCCGGCCCCATCCCCCACAGGACGAGGTCGCTCAGAGTCAGAGGGAGTCCATGGTCTCTCCACACTGTGACGTCCACCATCCATAGCTGAGCTCATTGTCTCTTCTCCTGCACAATCTGCTGTGATGTCCTCATCTTCCATCTTACAACCTGGAGATAAAGTCAGACGATCCTTTGAGGGTTCCTCCATGGCGTGTCCTGGAAACATAGAGACACATGATGGAGAGATATGAGAGGGTTAGAGGACTTCACTCAACATTCCATCTGGATCAGGAGGTCTGAGGGAGCAGATGTTCTATGAGGAGGTCCCAACCAGCCGGGACTCCTCCCCTCTTCCGTCAACATTCCATCTGGATCAGGAGGTCTGAGGGAGCAGATGTTCTATGAGGAGGTCCCAACCAGCCGGGACTCCTCCCCTCTTCCGTCAACATTCCATCTGGAGCAGGAGGTCTGAGGGAGCAGATGTTCTATGAGGAGGTCCCAACCAGCTGGGACTCCTCCCCTCTTCAGTCAAAGGGCCTCCTCCCGGATCACTTCTACATTGACACACTGGGTCATGTGACCTCTAAGAAACAAGAGGATCAGAGTATAGACTGGCAGTCCCTCTCCCAAATAACAGAATAATGTACTATGGCCCACCTGTGCTGATAGTCAGCAGGTAGATGATCTCCAGGGTGAGGTTTAGTATCCTCTCGGTCATGTGACTCCGGTCCTCCTCCATCCTCATGGATGTGGTCATGTGATCTCTGGAGGTCTCTGTGGACGGATAGAGGAGAATGAGGAGGACTGTACCGGGTGAATGACATTCTTGTCCTATGAATGGAGATCGGGGTGTTTGAAGCTCCAACAAGCCAAAATGAAGCTTCAGACTTCACAGGGTCCCCGAACCCCGAGGGAGGTCTGAGATCAGCCATTGTGTCGGTGTGTCTGGTGACGGTGAGCGGACGGGAAGAGCTCCTTCATAAGGAGGGATTTATAGGGATGAGATCCGGGTCTGAGGTGGATCTCCGGGATTCGTGTTTCGGGAGAACCGAGAACTTCTGGTGAATTTTGAGAGTCCTAAATTTGGAAGAACCCATAATGTACTAACCTTTGGTCTGACCCTGACGAGGTTAATGGACTTTTTCACACTTGATATATGTGTGTAGCCGCATCTGCCGGAGATGAGAGACGTCACAGTGACTATGGAGGACGAGGACGGACATGAAGGGGGGGAGGGGTTACTGGGTGTATATATAACATAATATCTTATTACCTCCTCTGCTGCCAGTTCCAGCAATGTCTCCTCTCCACTTCCTCCTAACTCACCTCTCACCCGGAACTTCCTGTCTCTACATTACATCACTTCCTTCCATAGAGACTTCCTGTCTGGGTATAGGTGAGATCGCCACCTGGTGGAGCTCAGAGGAACTGAGAAAAGTCTCATATTGTGAACCCGGCCTTGTGCTGTGTGTTCTCTATAGATGGGTCATCTCCTCCCCACCGAGAGGGATAGAAGTATATGACTGATAGGGATCAGTGGAGGGATTTCGGCTACTTATCTACATTGATGAAAACCTTCTCATGTGGCTTTGTAAGCCCCGTGATGCCCCCATTCATCCATAGAAGACTCAGGCGGCGGTGGAATGGGTGATGTGGGTCACCTCCTCACATGTACACGGCAGTAGAGTGGCCCGGCCGATCAGGACCCCAGTACAGATGGGAGCGGGACTTCTCTTCCAGCACATCCCACATCTGATATATGGAGGCGAAGAACCCCAGCAGAGGGGAAAGTGTGGAAATGGCTCCTGATTCCCAGGGTTTGGTGGTGAAGGATTGGCCACATAAAAGGAAGAGGTCCTCAGGATGGAGTAGTCAGGGTCTGGGGTGCGGGGCACATATGTGGCAGTGGTGGAACTTCAAGTCACCGCTGGGAGCCCCATGATGGCTTCAGCAATCCCAGCTACGGCAGAGAAGGTGCAAGACCAACCAAAGAACTTTAATAAAGGGGCCCTCCTGCAAGGGTAAGCAGCAGTGCTGGGTAGCAGGAAGCATGCACCTAGGTATGGGAGGTCTTACTCTTCCCCACCAAAGGAGCCGGGGTTGTTCCAGGAACCTCCACCATGAGGAGCCTTTTTGAGGATACATCTGAGGTCATCAACCTCTTCCACCAGAAGATACGCATATGGAGGTCCGGATCTCAATTGGAACCCAACATCTTCCAGGAGAGGCCAATAGGTCACCAGCACTTCTGTCCCGTGCATTAGGGGATCTTGAAATGAGAGGAGGGGCCTCTTGAAGCTTCATGCCAGAACCCCTGCGTGGATGACCAGGGCACGAGTGTCCCGGGAGATGCCACTGCTGATGGAGGATGATGGTCTCTGTGATGGATCCTTCGGGCAGGAGTCACACGCCAGAGGAAGCGGTGCGGACCAAGTCGTAGCTGGATGCAGGCCGGGTCTTCAATGTACGGGCGGCGTGGAACAGTAGACAAGGGCGTAGTCCGGTGACAGGCCAAAAGATCAGGAACGTGAGGACAAGGCGAGGTCAAGGGACAGGCCGTGGTCAAAGGAAGGTAGAGCAGCAGAAGAATGGTCAAGACAAGCCGGGTCAGTATCAGGTACCGAGGCAGGATTCAGGAAGCTGAAGATCACTTGGATGTCACAGCCTTCCGGTGCCATGATAAGAAGCACACGCGTGTCCGTGCACTCGCCGAGGACCACGCCTAGATTTCACTACTGCATGAAGCTTCCATAACAGTCTAACTCTGCTGAGATAGAGGCCGAGCTCCTGCCTTGATTTGGTGCTCCCATGCTGGAGCTGAAGGGCCTGGGACATGAACCTTCATATGGGAGAAGGCCACATCTCCACGCCAGGGAACCTTTAGAAATTCTAATTCCTGAGACGTCATGGGGGCAGTGGGGGGGAACTATGGTGGGCGTGTCCAAAGGGTGCTTTTAAAAACAGGGAGGGGCTTAAACGATTAGGTCCGGAGTCTACAGACTTGTGGGTAGCTGGGATCCAGGTGCACTGTGTGTACACTATTCCGGTGAAGCTGACATTGCACCGGACTCCCACCGGCAATGGTCTCCAGTCCTGGTGAAAGCCGTGGCGTCCAGTAACCCCAAGGCCGCCTCTTTGTCGTCCTCCCAGTGCCGGGACAAAGTCAACTGGTGCTCAGGAAGAAGATGTCAAACTGCACCGCCCCATCATTGGTGGTCAGTGGACCCAATAATAACCCCTCAGCAATGGTGGTCAGTGGACCCAATATATAACCCCTCAGCAATGGTGGTCAGTGGACCCAATATATACCCCCTCAGCAATGGTGGTCAGTGGACCCAATATATACCCCCTCAGCAATGGTGGTCAGTGGACCCAATATATACCCCCTCAGCAATGGTGGTCAGTGGACCCAATATATACCCCCTCAGCAATGGTGGTCAGTGGACCCAATATATACCCCCTCAGCAATGGTGGTCAGTGGACCCAATATATACCCCCTCAGCAATGGTGGTCAGTGGACCCAATATATACCCCCTCAGCAATGGTGGTCAGTGGACCCAATATATACCCCCTCAGCAATGGTGGTCAGTGGACCCAATATATACCCCCTCAGCAATGGTGGTCAGTGGACCCAATATATACCCCCTCAGCAATGGTGGTCAGTGGACCCAATATATACCCCCTCAGCAATGGTGGTCAGTGGACCCAATATATACCCCCTCAGCAATGGTGGTCAGTGGACCCAATATATACCCCCTCAGCAATGGTGGTCAGTGGACCCAATATATACCCCCTCAGCAATGGTGGTCAGTGGACCCAATATATACCCCCTCAGCAATGGTGGTCAGTGGACCCAATATATACCCCCTCAGCAATGGTGGTCAGTGGACCCAATATATACCCCCTCAGCAATGGTGGTCAGTGGACCCAATATATACCCCCTCAGCAATGGTGGTCAGTGGACCCAATATATACCCCCTCAGCAATGGTGGTCAGTGGACCCAATATATACCCCCTCAGCAATGGTGGTCAGTGGACCCAATATATACCCCCTCAGCAATGGTGGTCAGTGGACCCAATATATACCCCCTCAGCAATGGTGGTCAGTGGACCCAATATATACCCCCTCAGCAATGGTGGTCAGTGGACCCAATATATACCCCCTCAGCAATGGTGGTCAGTGGACCCAATATATAACCCCCAGCAATGGTGGTCAGTGGACCCAATAATAACCACCCAGCAATAAACTGTTTTTGTGTTATGATGGAAGTTTTTGAGTTATGACTTCCTGGTAACCGTTAAAACCGTCATCAATAGATTTTTACAAATAATAAGCTATAAAATAAAAAGATTAATCCAAATCTGAAGACGTCTTTTATCAATCAAATTACAAACAATCTCATCGTTATAAGAACAGAAATATTTCAAAATACAGAAGACATTTCCCACACTCCGCACACTAAGGGGAACCCACATAGCCCTCGAGGTGTCTGTTTGCTAAGATGGAACTTCTGTGAGAAGCTTTTCCCACACCCATTACAGGACTACAGCCTGTCATATGTGTGAGACCTCTGATGTCTTTTAAGGTGTAAACTGACATGAAAAAAACAAAATACAGAAGACATTTCCCACACTCCACAGAGCCCTGGAGGTGTCTGTTTGCTAAGATGGAACTTCTGTGAGAAACATTTCCCACACTCATTACAGGAATATGGCCGGTCGTATGTGCGAGACCTCGGATGTCTTTTAGGGTTAAACTGAAATGAAAAACCTCTCCCACACTCAGGGCAGGAATACAGTGTTTTCATTCCTGTGCCTTAGCTGATGAACATTAAGACTGGACTTCCATGAAAAGCATTTTCCACACACTGAACAAGAATACCGCTTTTCGCCAGTGTGGAACCTTTGATGTGTAGTAAGGCTGCATTTCTGTGAAAAACTTTTCCCGCATTCCGAGCAGGAATATGGCTTCTCCCCCGTGTGAGATCTTTGATGCGTAACGAGTTCATATATCCGTAGAAAACTTTTCCCGCACTCAGAGCAAGAATACAGCTTCTCCCCTGTGTGAGATCTCTGATGGGTAACAAGTTCTGATTTCCAGTGAAAACTTTTCCCGCACTCAAGGCAGGAAAAAGGCTTTTCTTGGGCGTGGACTTGCTGATGATTGCTACGATTCTTCTTCTCTGAAAAACACTTTCCACACTCAGTACAGGAATACGGCTTTTCACCCGTGTGAGACCTCAGATGTCTTCTAAAATTACACTGTGCTGAAAAACATTTCCCACACTCAGGGCAGGAATACGGCTTCTCCCCCGTGTGAGATCTTTGATGTCTTACCAGCACAGATTTATGGACAAAATATTTCCCGCACTCATGGCAGAAATGAAGCTTCTCACCCGTGTGAGATCTCTGATGTGATTTAAGACTGTACTCATCTGAAAAACATTTCCCACACTCAGGGCAGGAATGCATCTTCTCCCCTGTGTGTGATCTTTGATGTCTAGCAAGGTCTGAGATCTCTGCAAAACATTTTGCACAGTCAAGGCAAGCATATGGCTTCTCGCCCTTGTGCAAATTCTGATGTCTAGAAAGATTGGAGTTCTGTGAAAAACCTTTCCCACACTCGGAACAGGCATAAGGTTTCTCACCTGTGTGACATTTCTGATGTCTGACCAATTGAGAGTTCTGGAAAAAACATTTGCCACACTCAGAACAGGCAAATGGCTTCTCCCCCTTGTGCAATTTCTGATGTCTGGAAAGCTTGCCCTTATCAGTAAAACCTTTTCCACACTCAGGGCAGGAAAACGGCTTCTCCCCCGTGTGAGATCTGTAATGTATGTCCAGTTTTGATTTATGAAGAAAGCTTTTCCCGCACTCAGAACAGGAATGAATCTTCTCACCCGTGTGAGATCTCTGATGTACAGTAAACCTTACTTCAGATTCAAAACTTTTTCCACACTCAGGGCAGGAAAATGTCTTCTCCCCCTGAATTCCGGCACCATCCCCCACAGGACGAGGTTCCTCAGAGTCAGAGGGAGTCCATGGTCTATCCACACTGTGACGTCCACCATCCATAGCTGAGCTCATTGTCTCTTCCCCCGCACAATCTGCTGTGATGTCCTCATCTTCCATCTTACAACCTGGAGATAAAGTCAGACGATCCTTTGAGGGTTCCTCCATGGCGTGTCCTGGAAACATAGAGACACATGATGGAGAGATATGAGAGGGTTAGATGACTTCACTCAACATTCCATCTGGATCAGGAGGTCTGAGGGAGCAGATGTTCTATGAGGAGGTCCCAACCAGCTGGGACTCCTCCCCTCTTCAGTCAAAGGGCCTCCTCCTAGATCACTTCTAAATCTACACAGCCTTGTCAGAAGAGGAGGAGCCAACAGGGACTGGGAGGAGCATGCTGCTCATCCAACCTCTGATAAATAGTATAGGCTGGCAGTCCCTCCCCCGGATAACAGAAGAACATATAATGACCCACCTGTGCTGATCTGTGTAGGCGTGTCCTCCTCTATGGACGTCCTCATCATCCCGGCCTCCTCCGTATATCGCTGATCATCCCTCACATACGTCTCTTCTACTTCACCCTCAACTTTCATCTTCATCAGATCTTCACCCTAAACCAACAGAACGGCAGAAAGTCTCATCTGTGACATAGAAGTATTTATGATGTGACATCACATAGAAGATCTCATCTTGTAGAGTCCACACGTCATCTCCACATGTCAGAGCGTTCCATCACTTTATGTTCCCGCCCCTCCAATCCACCCACCTGATCATGGTGGGGGATGGTGAGATCTTCCTGGGTGGGATCCCGGGAATACAGGGGGCGGGGACATCTCTCATGGTGGGGGATGGTGAGATCTTCCTGGGTGGAGTCCCGGGAATACAGGGGGCGGGGACATCTCTCATGGTGGGGGACGGTGAGATGTTCCTGGGTGGGATCCCGGGAATACAGAGGGCGGGGACATCTCTCTGGTGGGTTCCTGTTATTAGGTGACTTCATCATCATGTCCTTGTGTCCTTCAGAAAGCTCCTCCATCACCCCGTACTCCTCATCCTCCTCTTTATACTCTTCTTTAACAAAAATAGTATCATCTCCGAGGTCTCCATTCTAGATATATTATAAAACATTCATTGTAACGAAAAAACACTTGTCTATAAAGCATCATTACCAATTGTTCATCATCTACCTGATCATGGTGGGGGATGGTGAGATCTTCCTGGGTGGGATCCCGGGAATACAGGGGGCGGGGACATCTCTCATGGTGG